TCCCTGTCTGTCTGGGTCTGGGTCTATCTGTCTGTCTATCTATCTGTCTGTCTGTCTCTCTCTACTCCTTGCTGGCATTTTTCCCTGTGTCTAGGTCTGACTTTTGTCATGACATGGAGAGCAAGAGAGGAACATGGCCCCTGGCAGGCCTGACACATGCTGTCTGGGAGAACTTTCCACTGATTTGCTCCTTTTTGGCCGAGGGCAAGCAAGGCCAGGGCAGCAGCTTTCCAGAGGAATGAAGAGGCTGGATTTTGGGGAGAGAAAAGAAACAAGGGCTGCAGGGTAGAGACACCAGTGCAAATTCCTTGGGTCCCCCAGCCCTTGAGAGAAACTCCCCATGCTAGACAGAACAGTGGATGATACCAGATTCAAGTCAGAAAATGAAGACTCAAACTTGAGCTCTGCTCATGGCCTCTGGGTGGTCGTGAGCAAGTCCATGAACTGGAACTCAGTTTCCCACATTATAAAATGAGGAGGAGGATTGATATCTTCTGAGGTCCCTTCCAGCTGTGACAGTCTAAATTTTATGGCTGTCCACAGCTGGCCCCAGACAGTCTGCCTGCTAACCTCCCAATGTATCCTCCTCTCTGGCCTGGCAAAACTCCATCACCCCTTGCTTTGCTCGCCCTCCCCACTCCCACCCTTTCTTGTTCAGTCTATTCAACAGCCAAGCCCTTTCTTGCTGGCCAGCATTTAGCCCTCATTTTCCCTCAAAATCCTATGAAAAGCTCATCTCCTCTAGAATGTCTGGTTTAATTAATATGGGCATTGTCTCTTAGTACTACTCCCATGCAGACAGCTCATCTGCAAGTATTTTCACATCTAATTGGTTTTCCTCCTTTGATGGCTTAGGAGTGTGGTCTCCTCTTGGTAATAACTGGTTCAGGTATAAAGCAAAGGTGGTTGATGTCTTCTGAGAATATCACTGGCGGTTGATTAGCAGCCCACAGCTAATAACAGGGTAGGCCACTAAGTTCAGTTGAGATGCGCTGAGCATTGCTCAGATTAGCAGATCTTTCTAGCAGATCCAAGGACTCCTAAGAGATAATAAGTATATTTTTAAAAAATAGCTATTTTTAAAATGTTACTGTTTGGGGTGGTTAGTTAAGTAGCAAAAGCTAGCTGATACAAGCACAAAGCACAAGTGCAAAAAAGGAATGGGGTACTATTATGGTTTGTATCTAGTTATTCCTCAAAAGCCTCATGCAGTCATTAGGATGGCTTCTAGAGTTTGTAATTAATTCATGGTCCAATGGGGGGATTATGGGTGTGAGTGCTACACCCGCTCTGGGGAAGATAGTCCGAATACAATATGGGGAGGGGAGAGAGGCTTGCTAGCTACCACAGCAGCTGCACCTCCCTTTGCTCTTCACTGATTTCCGCTGCTATGAGCTGCTGCCCTCTGCCATGTGCCACTCTGCCTTGGAGCCAGCTGAGTATGGACTGAAACCTCCACTAACTGTTAATTAAATAAACCTTTCCTTCCTTAATTTTGGGCATTGGGTATTTTGTCCCAGCAATAAGAGAAAAGTAACTGAGACAGGTACACACCAGATTTTCCAATTATTGTAGGCATATTGTTCTACCATGGCAATAGCCTTGGTATGTAGTGACAGAACTTATTTTTAGGCCAAGGCCTTGAGTATGAGGGGCTTTGGGGAGTGATAAAATGTGGGAGAGAAAGTGGACAGATGCTGGCCCTTAGGATGACATGATGTCCTGTTTTTAGGTCTAGGTGCAGACAGTTGCTTTTTCATGCTTACACCAACCTTACGGTCAGCCAGCACCGCATCTCTGTCAATCCAGGGTTGGAACAGACTTTAAGAGCTGGCACATTTTAAAGACAGGAGAACATTCTTTTAGATCACAATTGCTTAACAAATATCTTGCAAATGCTAGCAGACCAGCCTGTGTGCTATGCCTGCAGACAAACTGGCTTACCTTCTCAGCTAATCTAGGGAGACTTGGAAAAGGTGAGAAAAAGGAATGGGGGAAAGTTTACCTGCCTCTGGTGGTTTTAAAGTTCTACACATGGCCAGGGAGATGGCTCGGTAGAAGAAGCACTTGCCTGGCAAGTGCAGGGTCCTGAGTTCAATTCCCGGTACCGCAAAAATAAAAAATAAAAAGTAAATAAAAAAATAAAGTTCTATACATTCTCTGAAACTCTGAGGGGTGGAACTCAACTCTCCTCCCCTTGAGAATGAAAGCTACTTAGTGATTCACTTCTCACAAAGGCAATGTTGGAGTGATGGTACATGGCTCCAAGAGTGGGCAATAGAGGACATTTCGGGTTTGACTTGCTCTCTCTCTTTCTCTCTCTCTCTCTCTCTCTCTCTCTCTCTCTCTCTCTCTCTCTCTCTCTCTCTCTCTGGATCACTAGCTCTCAGAAAGCCAGCTGCAGTGGCATAAAGACCTTCAAGCAGCAAGGAGCTGTAGCCTCTTGCCAAGCTATCTTGGAAGTGGTGCCTCCAAGCTCAGTCAGACAAGCCTCCAGAGACCTCAGCTTGACTACAATTTAAATAAAAAAATCCATTCAAGTAAGGTGTTTCCAAATTCACAGCTTTTATAGTTTAGATATGGTTTGTGTCCCCCAAGTGTTCATATATGTGAAGTTTATTCCCACTGTAACATATTAGGAGAGTGCAAATTTAATCCAACTGTGGTGTTTATCTGTGGGACCTTTGGATGGAGATTGAGATTAGATAAGTTTATCGGGGTGGGGGTGCCATGACTGAATATTGGAGGTGGGACATGGAGAGGAGCCAGGGCACACATATGCTCCCTGGTCTCTTGCCATGTAATTCTCTCTACCACCTTCCTATCAAAAAGACCATGATTAGATATGGGCCTTGGGCCCTGGATCTCTAGGATCATAAGCTATATAAAACTTTTTGCTTTATTAAGTTTCTCAACCTCAGGTATTCTGTTATAATAACAGAAAGCAGACTAGCATACCAGCCCACAGAAACTGTGAGATAATAAATATTTGTGGTTTCAAATTGCTAAGTTCTTGAGTAATCTGTTATACAACAACAGATAACTAGTGTATTCCCTCTATCCTCTCATATTTCCACCTTGACTGCACTCCTCCCTCTTTGATATTCTCTACATGCCACATGATGTGCAAAGGCCAGGATGTTGGAACTGATCTCAGATGGGGAGTGCTATGGTTTGGGGCTAGACGTTCCTGAAAAGCCTCATGCAGTTGTGTGGTGGCTTCTAGAGGTTGTGATTAATTCATGATCCAATGCTGGGATTATGGGTGTGAGTGCTACACCCAGCCCGGGGCAGACAGCATGAATGCAATATAAGGGAGGGAAGGAGGCTTGCTCTCTGCAACTGCTCCTCCCCTTTTGCTTTTGATCTTGCTGATTTCTACAGTCATGAACTGCTGCCCTCTTCTATGTGCTACTCCGCCTTGGAGCCAGCTGATTATGGACTGAAACCCTCACAAACTGTGAGCTACATAAAGCTTTCCTTGCCTGATTTTGGGCCTTAGGTATTTTGTCCCAGCAATGAGAGAAAAGTAACCAAGACAGGGAGGCTGTCCACCAGCACCTGTTCTGCTCTGGGCCTATACTTGTTTCACCTTGAAGCCCAAATTCACATCAGCCTTTATCCCCTCTGGCTGCCCAGCCCAAGTCAGAGAAGCCCAGGGAATGCGAGAAAGGGGGAAGGAACAGCAGGCAGACTCACCTGAGCAGGATCTCATACTGGCCCGCGTGCCAGGGCTGCACATTCTTCAGGACCAAGGTGAACACATCCTCATTCTGTAGCACCTCAAAGTGGCCAGTGTCTTTGGAGAGGGCTTTGCCATCTCGGAGCCAGTGCACGCTGGGAAAGGGGTCACCAGCAATGGCACAGGAGATAAGGACACTCTGGCCCAGGGAGGCCATCACTGAGCGAGGCTTGCTGATGAACCAGGGCTGGATGCCATCTTGTGGCTCTGAAAATTGGGAGGTGGGGAGCTAAGGAGAGGCCCTTCAGCACACTGAGCCCACTCTGCCACAGTGAGAAGGGATGGGAGACAATAGCAGGTGCAGAAATCACCTCCATCAGACAAACAGAGCACATCTTTCACCTACAAATCCATCTTGGGTACATTTCACTAAGGGCAACATTATCATGAATTTGCACATCCAAGGCAAGAGGAAGGAGCTTAGAGATACTAGCACCAGCTAGATGCTGTGGCCTGCATCTGATGCATCTGACTGGGAGCTATTGTACCCTGCTTTTGTGCTTAACTTATCTTTCCTGGTACCAGTTTACTAAAGGCAAGGACCAATGAACACAGATATCATAAGCTATCATTGTGAATTAAGTGTGTTGCAGAATTCCCTCTTAGCACTCTATGCAGCTGGTCACTAGTAACTCAGAGAGGGCAGGAACTACAGAGAACTCCACTCAGCCAAAGCTGGAGGTATCTGACAGGGAGCTGCCTGTGGGGCTGGGATGGGACCAAAGCAGGTCCCACATGGCTCTGGGAGTGGCCATGGCAGCAACCCCCGTCCTCCTGGCAGCTCAACCTCACCTTGCACTGTGAGCACCGCCTGGGTGCGAACTGCTCCGGCACTGTTCCAGGCCTCGCAGGTATATGTGCCCGTGTCCTCCGGGAACACCTCCTGGATGCAGAGACTGTGCTGAGTGCCTCTCCGTTCAAAGTGGAAGTCCTCTGACTCCTGGATCTCATTCCCATTGTGAAGCCAGATGACCTTGGGGGGTGGGTTCCCTAAAGTAAGAGGAGGGCATGGGCTGGTCAGGGAGGTCTTTTCCTGGCCAGGCGATGATTCTGCACTTAGTACTGTGCTAAACACGTACTCCAATTCTATGTTTCAGCTCCCCCACCTGGAGAATGGGGATTCTAACCGCACCAACCCACTGCGCTTGCTGGGAGGCCTGAGTTAATCAAGCTTCCTGCAAGTGCCCATTGGAATATCACTTGACACACACACAAAAACGGTCTGATGTGTGTTCATTATGATTACTAAAAAACCAACCTGTAGAAATGAGAAAATACCTAGAATTGAAAATATGATTTCAGAGATAGAAAAGAAAACCCAGGAAGAATGGTTTCTAAAATTAGAATTGATACAGTTGCATACTCTAAGTGGACACTGGGTCCCTGGGTTCAAACCTCACACATCTGCTCGGCAGTGGGCTTTCACATGAAGGCCAGTGGCAGCTGCATGGCAACCTCCTCGCAGACCGTCTCCGGAAGATAACATGGGTAGCATTTCATTTTGCTATCATGCAAATGCTGTTCCAGGACATGAGCTTGCATAGCATTTCCAAACATGAGTCTCAGTGGCTAACACTGGCAGTCTTTAGTGGTCTGCATCCCTGTAATTTGTTGGGGCTCAGAGCAATGCTCATTTGTGAGGGCTCTTCTCATGCAGGGCTGAGTGACTCTGTTTCCAAAGGAGCAAGGCTCCTGGAATGGCCTGCTGAGGTAGGCTGGGGCTTTAGGCCCTGGAAAAGCTTAACTGAGTGAGTGGATGGCCACCTATGTGCAATGGGGTAGGCGGCACAGGCCTGGAGTCTAACAGTCTCTTCCACCCAATCTCTTCCATGTGGAGAGGACCCAGCCACATGCCTGGGGCTATCATGGCCTCCAGCCTGCCGCAACAGGGAGATCATCTGAGCACCCCTACAAGGGTGAGCCCTGGGTTCTCTCACAGCTCATTTTATTGCTTCTGCAGTTCAAGAGGAGCTGAGAGAAAAGGAAACTGACCTGTAAATTGTAAGAGGCATGGATTAGGAGCTAAGGACTCAGTTGCACTCAGTAGCAACTACAGCTGCCCTAGCCACAAGCACAGAGCCCGGGGCCTCCCTGGCCTCTCGGTTTACCTCCAGCAAGGACTGGGATATCTCAGAAGAGGGTGCAAATCACTTACACTTATTCTATTCCCCTTTTAGAAAGACCTCTGTTGTTCCTTTCTACCTTGAAATTGGAATAGAGCAACTGAGACTATTTTCTGAGAGTTGGGAATCTTTTGTGTAATCTTGTTTTGCACTATCTTCAAACCTTCCAGATGCATTGGCTACACAAGGTTTTTTCAAATTTATATTTCACTCCTCCAGCTCTGGCCATTTTCTTTTCCAACCTAATTAATATTTTTTAAAAAATATATTTAAAAATTTATTTATTCATTTATTTGGTACAGGGTGTCTTGCTATGCAGCTCGGACTCATAGTAATTCGCCTGTCTCAGCTTCCCCAGTACTAGGATTACAGGCGTGTACCACCACATCCAGTTTCAGCGGCTGCCACTGCATGCCCAGAACAGCATGCAGTACTGAGGATGTAAGCCAGGCCCTTGCACTTTCCAGGCAGGCACTATCTCCCTAGCATAGCCTAATTAATCTTAAATCCAAAAAAGCCTATGCAGAGAAGTAATAAAGAAAGGCTGGAGGGTCCCACTTGCTCAGAACCATTATCTGATGGCTGAGGTGTTTTTTTTTTTGTATTGGAAATTGAACTCAGGGTCCTGCCTTGTCTTGCCACGCAGGAGCCTGCACCACTGAGTTACATTACCAGCCTCACATGCTGAGTTTTTTTAGGTGGGTCCATGATCTGAGCAAGGCCTTGGCAGCAATACCCATGTGGCAACCATGACTGTTCCCATATACACCCCAAGGACAGGAATGCACAGACAGACCTGACACCTGGACCGTCATGGTGACCTGGCTTCCATCCATGACTCGGAGATCAGAGAGGCCCTGCAGGAAGATGGGTGCGGTGGCCTTGATGGGAGCCAAGGGCGAAAGATCACTCTTCCTGTCACTCTTTTTTTCTGTATGGTAGACAACAGGACATGTGTAAACATTCTCTTATTCATTCATATATTCAACAAACAGATTAAATGTACATTCAGCACACAACTATGCTGAGACTCAGATTCTAACAGAGGATTTGAGAGTCCTGGGGTCATGAGAAGCAAGATGTGCCCTGATTTTCTGCTGGACCTTACAATACCCCTGCTTGATAGTGGGGAATGAACAGCGAGATTTCTCAAGAGCCATGACCAACCGAGACTCTAGTCCTTCAAGAGAACCTCAAGGGGAGAATTAATATGTAGCATCTTTTTTTTTTTTTTTTTTTTTTTTGTGGAACCAGGAATTAAACTCAGACCCTTAGTATTTGCTAGGGAAGCACTTATTTCACTGAGCCATCTCCCTGGCCCCAATATATAGCATCTTATGAGCATTTCCCTCAAATTTTATTTACCTTTTGGAACTAGTGATACACTCGCAGTACAAAATTCTAAAGGCACCAAAGTTTGTGTAAGATCTCTCTGCTACCCATTCCCCCAGTCACCATCATCCTCCCCAAAAGTCATTCAGCTTTCAGATTCCTGTTCATCTTGCCAGAGATGTTCTACGCATACAACATACATAAGTAAATAGCTTGCTTGCTTGCTTTCATTCCTTCTTTCTCTCTCTCTCTCTTTTTTTTTTTTTTTTTTTTGTTCAGGGGCAGAACCCAGGGCTCATGCATGCTAAGGAAGCACTCTACCACTGAGCTACACCTCTGACCTCATTTCTTCTTGGAAAAAACAAAAACAAAACAAAAAAAATAAACTAGAGAGGGCTGGAGATGTAGTTCAGTGGTAGAGTACTTGTGTAACATGTGTGAAGCCCTAGGTATCCCAAAAGCAAAACAAGTCCTACAGTACACTGTACAAGGTTTGATCTCATCTTGCTTTTTAACTTAACAATGTACCTTGGTTTTTCTCATAAACTGGAACTAAGGGACTTCCTTACCATTTTCTACTATTATGTGGTATTCTTTTGCCATCTTAAGAGATGTTAAGCACCTCAAGAGCCAAAGACCTCAAACTCTTTACAACAGCTAAAACTACACAAATTGATCATATGAATCAGTATTGGCCAAAATGTGGAACATTCTGGGTCTTTCATTCACTGCTGGGGGGCTTCTTATAAAATGGTACAAATTCTTTAAAAATAAGTTTGACAATTCTCAAAAGCTAATATATATATTACAAGCCAGTTATTTAAATCCTGGAAGAAATGAAAGCACATAATCTGTTTTCCGCACATGCCAAGCCTTTCCTCATCAGAGCTGTTATGACACGGTACAGCCCTTACAAGCTCCACCCTCAACCCAGCCTAGTGAATTTTTCGCCTGCCTTCTTCCTCTGCGAGGCTCCCTGCTTCTCCTTGCCAGCCCTCCTGAGCTGAGCCATAAAGGAATTTTTTTATTCTTCTGTTTCTCTTTCATGCCAGAGGAAAGAACCTTATATATACAAGTCTTGTTCATATTTATAGCTCCCAACTGGAAATTACCCAAATGCCCATCAACAGGCCAATACATGCTTAAGAATGTGATATACACAGGTACTGGAATACTACTCAGCATTAAATGGAAATAGAGCACTGTATTGAGAAATACCACATAGGGATGAATCTCTCACAATATGTTCAGTGAAGAAATCAAATAAAGAGCCCAAATCTACTTACAGTACTGTAGTAGAAAAGCAGATCAGTGAGTGCCTGGGGCAGGGACTAAGCCGATGGATTAGAAAGGGCCTATGAAAAAACTTGGCAGGGATGGAGGTATTCACTGTTTCAGGTTATGATGAAGGTTTCATGGCTATACAACTATGTCAAAACTTATTACGCACCTGAAATATATATATATATATATATATATATATATATATATATATATGTGTGTGTGTGTGTGTGTGTTTATATATACATATATTATGCACCTTAAATACATACAGCTTATTATATACTGTATTTCCCTGAAAATAAAACCTAACTTGAAAACAGCTTTAGCATTTTTTTTAGATTGCTTGTAATACAAGCCCTGTCCCTAAAATAAGGCCCAGTTAAGATTAAGATGTCTGTTGTAACATCTGGTAGACATACAGAATTATAAAATAATACTAATGTATAACTACATATAAATAATATTATTGACATTAATACTTAAAATAAATGATAACTTAGAATTAAATTTTTTAAAATTTTTATTTATTTGTGTGTGTGTGTGTGTGTGTGTGTGTGTGTGTGTGTGTGGCCAGCTCAGCCCACCAGGGGGCGGGGCTGGCTGGCATGTGGTGCTGGGGGATTGAACCGCGGTCCCTGTGCTTTGCTAAGCTTGTTCTAAGTAGATGCTTTAGACCACTGAGCCATCTCACCAGCCCCAGAATTAAGTTTTTGTAAATACCCAAGAGGGTGCCTTCAGATGAGAGATAAATGCATATGTAAACAGTAACTCAAGACGCACTGAATGACCAATTGGAATCCAGACACAGTGTGTGAGTAATGCGTGTGCTTGATAATGAGTGGACATGGTGGAGTCTAATCTGAATCTTCATCATTCAAAAAATGTTATAATGGATGTACTTAATGCACTTGTGTGAAATAAAGAAGCATTTTCCAAATTTTGCTGCTCGCAATTTTTTATCGTGTTTGCGTGGACCATCCTTCTTAACTGCCATTCTTTTTGTTGCCACTCTTGTCTCCTAAGTCTTCAGTTAATGCTTGAGTTAATGGAAACTCTGTGAAGCTTCACCTGCAAGAGACTGTGACTTGGACAAAGAGTTCATGGTATAAAGACACTGAGAGCTGGGATGTCAATGTATTATGCACAGACTACATGGACAAGAAGTGCTTGTTTAAGGAGAACTCTATTGCCAACTGTGAGAGAGTGGGGCCAACAGTTCTATAGGAAATGGTGTCACAAGACATTTGGGCCATACTTTGGGGTGTGGAGAACTATGACAAGGTTCCAGAACCACTGTTTTTGAACATATGTAAATTTTATACATGAATAAATGTAGTTTGTTGTACCTAAATAAATGTAGATCACTGTACATGAAAAAATAAGACATTCCATGAAAATAAGCTCTATTTCATTTTTTGGAGCAAAAGTTTATGTAATACCTAGTCTTATTTTCAGGGAAATATACTAACACCTGAACAAAATTTGGCAGGAAAATGGGCTCGAGAGATGGCTCAGTGGAATAAGCGCTTCCCTGACAAAGGGCCTGAGTTCAATCCCTGGTTCTGCCAAAAGAAAAAAAATTAAAAAATTTAAAAAACTGGTAGAAAAAAAAGACCAACCTTCTGGAGGGGGAGATTGTGTACTAGCTAGGAAGGGACAGAAGAGCCGACTTTCTTGGTGCACTCCTCTGTGAGATGAGCCCCAGAAAGGCTTCCCCTCACTCTTGGCACTCTCTCCCAAGCTGAGCTTCAACCCCACTCCAGGAGATGAAGGTCTCTCTGCTCCACAGGTACAACAGACCCGGTACAGAATGAGCCCCTAGGCGTGCAATGTCTGTATTTCCATTTGTCCTGTGAACAAGCTGGCTTTGACTTTTAGTAAATCTCTTTTAGCATTTTTGGTTTTAGTGGGCACAGTGCTTAAGATCAGGAAGATTAGTACTAAGGTTTGGATGTGGTTTGAACCCATTTAAACTCATGCTGAAAAAAAAATTTTGTACTTTTTTGGTGTGTGTGGTATTGGGGATTGAACCCAGGGCTTTGGACATACTAGGCAAGTGCTCTACCAGAGCTATACCTATGGCTCAGGATGTTGAAATGTGATTGTCATTATGGCTGTGTCTGTAGGTGGGGCCTCAGGGAGGCAATTAGATTATGAGGTTACCATTTCTGTGACTGCATTAATATCTTTCTCAAGAAACTGGATAAGGATCTTAATACTGGGTTAGTTCTCTTAGGAGTGAGTTGGGTCTTATCAATCCAGGTTAGCTATAATGACAGAAGATTATTCTGAAATGAGCTTGGCATCTCTCTTGGTCTGCTGTGCACACATGGTCCTGCCATACATGCTATACCATGAGGTCCTCACTAGGAGCAGAGAAGGTGCAGAGCCTTGAGCTGAAATAAATATTTTATTCATACATCACCCAGCCTCAGGTATTTTGTTGTAGCAACAGAAAAGAGACTAATGCAGCTAGGTATCTCTAATTTAAAATCAAAGTTAGTCTTGTAAGGCATCTGGAAGTAACTTGCACCAAGCCGGCAGCTGCAGTAACTACAGTTTCAACTTCACTCCACGATGTTTCCCTTGGCCAAAAATGCATTAGGTCTTTTTCCACTGTGAAGCATTCAACAAATGGTAGCAAGGCAGAGCCACCAGAAACGTACACCTGATTTCCATGACAAATATGGCAATGCTATATTAGTTGGTGGAGTCACATTGTGTATTGCTGCATGGACCTGTACAGCAACACAGATTGGAATAGAGTGGAACCTTTCCCCCGTTGGCAGAGTCACCCCCAAGGAATGCAGAGATCAGTACTCATGCCAACTGATATGATACAGCTAAATGATTTCTAAATGAAATCATAATTGATGCCAAGTAAAAGTGCTGTGCATCCATTAAAATATGGCCTATTGAAGAAATAAAGTACAATTGAAACCTTGAAAAAAAAATCAAATCAAAGTTAGAGGGTTGCTGGTATTTTTGGGTTTCTATGAGCAAGGAGCCACAAACAAACACCAGGAAGCCTGGGGACCTGAATATCGTTTGTTTCCCTGGGCAAGGTCTTACCCCCCACTTGATACTGACTTTCTATGTGTAACCAATGAAAACAAAATCAGGCCCACTACAGTGTTCTCTAGCCTCAGAAACTGAGCACAGGGACAGACTGGGAAAGCCTAGCAGGTAGGGAAAGCTTCTTCCTAGAGCAGGTACAGCAAGTGGAGCAAGAGAAGTGGGGACAGGTAAGGAGAGGGACATGGTTTCCAGCAACATGATGCAGGCCTTCAGGATCCTGTTGCTCTCTACCCACTC